GACCTGCTAGCCCTGGGAAGCGCCTGCACAAGTGACCTATAACAGAAGAGTGTTCCAGATGAACCTAGTAGCTAAAAAGAGCACTTGTTTCAAGAGTGTAGCTCCAAGGTTTGAAATCCATAAAACTATTAACTTATTGGTGACTACTGGCAGAAAGCGGTTATTTTAAGGGTGTTTTCTCCTCTCCTTACTACCGACTCCCAACGATCAATGGCTGAAGTTGCATGATGCTAGGTTAATGGGACTATGGAAATTAGTTGTCAGCCAGCCCTTTTCCAAGCATCTAAGATATCCAGCCTAAGTATCTATATATCCTAAGATATGCTAACAATGTGCAAGATTTAAACTCCTAGTAAATAGTCATTCAATATTAAAGAGTGTCACCGTGCCTCAGTGGGTCACAGCCAGGAATATCAGATTCAGGACAATCTGCTGAGAAATAGGGCGGACTCACCCCACATGGGGGGTTATTCTATCATTAGATTATAGCAAGCCAATAACAAAAGTAAATCAGTGTGATGAGACAGAAGTTAACAGGAAGTCAAAGATGCAGTCTGTTTAGACATTCCAGCCCTTGTCTCACCACCCAGACAGTGGACTCTATAATGTGGTTCCGGAAAACCAATTTAATCAAATATAGGGTCCTGCTAATCTCAAGAGATCAGCCCGATAGCCAGGTCAATACATAACTCAGCTCTTACCCAATAATCACTCTGCTGCCAATCTTTTATTAATAAAACTTTAGATTTTCGTTACTAAAAGAAAAAAAGAGTTAATAAATCATATACATACAGATAATTGCAGAGTCCTAAATCAGGTTTGTTGCAGTGATGGAATAAACTGCAGGCTTGTAAAATTTCTCTGGTATCTTCCAAAAAAATTTTAGTTATAAATCTATAGTTCAGAGCAGAGGTCGGCAACGTTCGGCATGCGGCTCGCCAGGGTAAGCACCCTAGCTGGCCGGGCCAGTTTATTTACCTGCTGACGCGGCAGGTTCGGCCGATCGCGGCCCCCACCGGCCGCGGTTCGCCGTCCCGGGCCAATGGGAGCGGCGGGAAGCTGCAGCCAGCACATCCCTCGCCCGCGCCGCTTCTCGCTGCCCCCATTGTCCCGGGACGGCGAACCGCGGCCAGTTGGGGCCGTGATTGGCCAAACCTGCCACGTCAGCAGGTAAATAAACTGGCCCGGCCCACCAGGGTGCTTACCCTGGCGAGCTGCGTGCCAAACGTTGCCGACCCCTGGTCAAGAGAATGAGAGCAGTAAAGAGGCAAAATGGAGAAATCTCAGGATCTTTTATACCCTTTCCCATGCCTGGAAATGTACTGGGTCAAACAAAGCTCACAGCCTTTGTTTGTGGAAAGTTACTGACCCAAAATGGAGTCCAGGTTCACCTGAGCATATCACATGTCCTTAGATGGTTTGATGATTCATCTATATTCTTGCTGAGACATCCATAGGAAGAGGGCCTGGAGAGTTGATTCTTCTTAATGGCCTATCAAGCTTGAATAGTTATTCACAATGGGCTGGCGAGACTGGGAGTGTTACCCCAGGAACAAACACATTTGCGATACAGATACAGAGCCAATATTCATAACTTTAGATACAGCGATGATACATAGATTTAACCAGAATAATCGTACTTGATAGACTGTAACTTTTTCATTGACACCTTTCATGGTACATTTCATAAAAAATTTCCTGCAATTGTAAAATAGCGGTAGCAACAATGATACAAATGGACATTTTCAATTAGACAGCATCACGAAGGGTTATATTAAAGTACGTGTATAAATACACTTCAGATCACACAGAGAATGACAGCAAGTTTAAAAGTAGGCGTGTGTGTATATATACACACATGCACTGTAAATAACCACTATCTTTCATGTGACATGTTCAGTATGAAAGATAAAATACAAAAGAGTTTTGTCTTAAAATCCCTGTCTTCGTGTCCATGTGAGATACCTTTATGGCATCCCTCAGGGTTTACAATGTTTTCTGTGAAATAGCCATGTATCCAATATTACTGCTTCAGGAGTAGTAATATTTATATTTATCATGATAAATTACAAATGATAACACCCAGCTCTTTCCATCAGTAGAACTCAAAGCACTTTTTAAAGGCAATCAATATCATTATCCCCCTTTTACAGATGGGTAAACTGAGGCACACAGATGAAGGTCCAAATCCTCAATCGGAGTTAGGCACCTAAATACCTTTGATGATATGGGCTGAAGTGACTTGCTCAAGGAAGGTAACCCAGCAGTCTAGACGCAGAGCCAGAAAACCTGAGTTCCAATCTAGCTCTCTGTGCACACTGAAAACCCACTTTTGAACCGCTGCTTACTGCTTTTCACCCAGAACTAACTGCAGGTGAAAAATGGTTAACACTTAACTGTCTAGCTATCTTATTTATGGGCACAATCAGAAACTTAGAAATGGAAGTTCTACCATTTACATCAAGAATTTATTGTGGGTGCTACTGTTTGCAGGTACAAAACGAGATAGGGCTAGGATTTAAACAAAAATCCTCTGATGATTTTTGGGTGTCTGATTAGTTTTGCATCCTTTCAGATTTAGTATACTTTAGGTATATGTTCTTATCTCAACACTCAATGATGTAGGGGTGAGTTTTTCAGAAGCATCTAACCCACTTAGGCATATCACAAAATCCCACCCTAAAGCACAGATTCATTTACAACATTCATTTCTCTCAGCATTAGTGAGGATTCAGTGTGTAAACCCATAAGCCCAAAAACACTGAGCTGAGTCACCCTAATGTAATAAAGTCCTTTTTTCATCATTTACGCACTGTGTACCAAAATTGCACACACACCTGTACTATTTTAGTTTTGAAAACTAAATATTTTATTTTTTAGTTTTGAAAACTAAATATTTATTTATATACATATAGCAATGTTATTTTTACATCCTCTCCCCCCAACCCCACCTCACCTCACCTCCCCTCCCCACCCCAGACAGCAACTCTTTAAAATCACCAAGATAAAATCTCTTCTCTTACCTTTGTTTGGACAAGTCACCAAATACAAGTACTTCTTTGCAGCAATTACAAAACCAACTTTTATGAAACTTCTTGGGTTTAACCTTCAAGTCCCTCACATTTTATTAAAATGAAAAGCTACAATAAAATGGAGCAAGAAAATGTCTAGATAATCACAATGAAGCAGCCCTTTAAAAAAATCCTGAAATTTCACAGGATGCATAAGACTCTCGCGAAGTTTTATTGTAAGGAAAAAATATGCAAGTTAAATTAAACTACTATGCTTTTGCAATACATGTGTCATGCAGCTAAGACAAAAAAGGATTAATTTACCACTTCGTGGAATAATACTTACCATTAATATAGCACTTTTCACCCATACGTCTCAAAGCACTTAATAAAGGTGAGTAAATCATTGTTCCCATTTTGCCAAAGAGGAAACAGAGGCACGGAAGTTAAGTGACTTGCCCATAGTCATGCAGCTAATGAGCAAGAGATGGGAAGAGAACACAAGCCTCCTCTGCCTGTCTACTTCAGTATATCAATTCTGTGTTTTTTTTCCATAAAAAGCCTTTACCATAATCGACACATGTTAATGCTTTATAGTTCTTAACAAATCAGGTAAATTGTGCATCCAGAAGTGTGGCTGCAAACAGAAGGCAAAAAACAGTCAGTCAAAACAGAATAATCTGCCTTGATCAGAGAATTACATCTTTTCAAGAAAAAAAAAGTTTCTAAGACATTCTGCAGAGACATGTCTCTACCTAAATTAGTGTAATCCCTCCCAAAATATAGATGGGGTGTGAATCAGCAAATCATGTAAATACTGTTGTGTATAATGGGGTATAGAAGGATAATTTGGTCCATAGTACATTATGATAGATGAATATTGTACTCAATGACAGTATTTATATAGAATGTCCTCTAAAAGAGTAGAACATTTCAAACAAGATTATTATTTTATGGACCAAATTCTGCTCTAACAGCTATCCCCCTCTATGCAGCCCCAATGAAAATCATATTTCTTACTGGAAAAGTTTGTTTTCCAAGTTATATACATTTATTGTAAAAATGTAAACGAAGATCCAGATCCATAAAGCCCAGATTTAGGTCAATCTACAAAACACCTGCTCACTTACACTACAAAGTCATCCTCACGCTCTCTCTCTGGCCCGCTGTATATTCAGTACACAATAAAACAGCTTCAATGGGACTGAGAGCAGCCCACATCAGAATATTCCATAGTCAAGTAATTAGGAAACACACTTGGGAAATGAGAAACCCCTGTTCAAATCCCTTTTCTTCATCAGGAAGAGGGGGGAATTGAACGAGGTCTCTTATATCCCAAGTGAGCTCCCTAACTCTGGGCTAAAAGGTAGCCAGGTGGATGAAGAGGCTTCACATATGTTTTGTATGGAGTGACATGTGCCACTTAGGTACCTAAGTATGGACTGGTGGGAGTTATGGGATATGTGCGCTTAAGATACACAGTCAGGAACCTCTCGTGGAGTCAGGTCCCTATCTTCCTAAGAGGTGTGAGGCTTAGGAAACTCCCTCAGTTTGGCATCTGATATTGGCTAACTTACATGGTGTCTTGTCTAGCATGCCACGTTTTATAGAGCCCATTCTTTGGTGCCTGTCTCTCCCCATGCATGGTATAAGGGGCCTAGGCCCCTATCTCAGGATTTGTGGATTTCAGTGATTTCCAAGGCACCTAGAAGTTAGGTATTGTAAACACTTTAAGTCCATTTATGTATCCAGGCCAAATTATTGAAATTCTTGTTTCAAACTAAATTTTTAAAAATCACACATATATATATATATATACACACACATATATATACACACACACACACACATATATTTTTTACTTTTTAAATTCTGACTTGAATCAAGAATTTCAAGAGTTTAGGTTTATTATATATATGGTGGAAATACCATAGCAGTTATTTGCCCTTTTGACAAACACTAGCCAAAAAAATCTGATACAATAAATAATAATTTGACCTTAGTACTGTGATTTAATGAAAGTGCGTTTCTGAAAATTGAGGATACATGTGAATATTTAGTTATCTGTACAAAAACCTTCCTAAGATTCCACTGACTGTAGGTTTTCACCAGTTTGCCTGTTGCAGTGGTAAGTAGAAGTCTCAAATACTTGTTTCATAATTCAAGTTGATACAATACACACTGGATTAACCTTTAAAACAAACCCTTTCTGAGTGGTAAAATGGAAAAGGGAGACGTGGGGGGGGAGAAACACCAAACCTCCCCCCAAAATAGGAAGGAACATCCTCCCCTCCAATATTCTAAACTGAGTTTTTTATTGAAAATTTCTGTGAAAATTTTCAAACAGACAAAAAATGTTTTCCCTTCCAAAACTTATAGAACAAAAATTACATCATACTCACACCTTTCACCATTTTATTTTCCATGTTTTGACCAGCTCTAGCTGGAACCATGACAACAAAATTTACACCCGAAGGAAACAGTTGCAGTCTTTACAATGATGTTTTGGCCACTACTACTTGATTCTCTTAGAGCAGCTGGGAATTTAACCCTACCCTTAAACTGCAAATTCTGACAAGTAGGGGACACATCATCTCTCAAGAGAGCACCCAAACCCTTTGCCAGATCCAGATTTATTCCCCAATCTACCAGCATTACTCTCATCTCATTTGTATTACCCCAGAGTAGGAAATAGATACATGAGTCTTCAACCAGACATCTGAGATTAAGCTGTGACTTCTGTGGAGCTCCATGTGGGCCCAAGGATCTGCCCATGTGCATCACATTGCAGACCTGGGGCTTGCACCACTGGAATCAGTGGGAGGTTTGCCAATAATTTCAATAAGAGCTGGACCACAATCTCAGAGGACAAGCTGAGGCCACTTAATTTTTTTTTCCCTATTAAGGGGCTTGACCCTGCAGCCCGGTATCACATGAGCATCCCAGTGAAGTCACTCAGACTAGTCCATGGAGCAAGGACTGTAGCATCAGCAAAAAGAACATCAATTCCTCCATTGGGGCGGGGGGGGGAGAAAGTGACTTTGGATCCTAAAACGGTTGAGCCACCCCTTTAAGTTTTAGATAGCTGTGCTGAATTTGAGGTCCTGGATTTTTTTTGCAGTCAGAGTTATGCAGTTACCACTCATTTTGTTTGTCCTATAAATAGGCCCAGATCTCCACAGGGCTGCATTGCGTTCCTTCCACCTGTTTATTCAAAAACTGTGGTAAATAATCCGTTCTGCTTAAAATCCTCTGACACTTGCTTGGAGTGTCGTATCTTGGCAGACAGTGCTTCAAAGATATCATTCTGATCCACTGCTGTAGCAACCCTGTAAATTAATTCTTCCAAGGATTCCAAGCCTCTCAATCCAAGATTAACTCCACAGCCTGCCAGAAAAAGGGGATAAAATAAAAAGGCATTTAGAAACGGGGATTAACGTCACAATGAAATATTTGCCAATTAGCACATGAAGTAGAGTTGTTGATCTCCTTTGCTTTAAGCAATCAAAATCAAGTGTCTTATAGGTTTCACCACTAGAAATATTGATTTAAACTTGATTATATATAATCTGTTGGCAACCCTGATCCAGCAAAGCACTTAAGTATCTTCTTAACTTTAAGCATGTGCTTATGTATTTTACTGGATTGGGGCCTGTATTGTCTGCCAGGGACTGGGGGATGGAAGAGGATAAAACAAAAGTAATGCTGATATGTTGCAGAAAGTAACCCAATGATCAGAGACAGATTAAGGTTTCCTGGGCCCCTGGGCTAGAGCAAGCGGGGGGCTCCTCCCCATCCCTTCTGTCTGCAGTCCCACCCCCATCCCACTCCTTCTGACTGTGGCCACTCCCACAGCCCCACCCCTTTCTGCCCCTTCCCCGGGAACCTGCCCCTATTCCTCCCAGGGTTCCCCCCTCTTCCACCCACACCACAACCTGTTTGCTTCTTTCCGCCCCCTATCAACTGCGGCCCAAAGACTGGAGAAGCTCTGGCCCCATGCCACGGCCACAGGGTCATAGCAGGAAGGGATTGTTCCTCCAGTCTCAGGGCTGCAATGGGCATCTGGGTCCTGAGGCTTCCCCTGCCACCCTCTGCGCTTCTTCAGGGAACCAGGGTCGGGGTGCTGGGGCTTCTTTTGGAGAGTGGGGTCGGGGCTCTGGGAGCTTCCTCCACTGGGGACGGAGTTGCAGGCCACTGGGGGCTTCTGCTGGGGAGGCTTCCCCCGTTCCGTGGCTTCTTTCAGGGTTGGGAGAGCGTGCTGTGGTGGTTTCCTCTGTCCTGCAGCTTCTACTGGGGATGGGGTTGGGGAGCGCGGGGACTTCCCCTGCCCCACCCGCCAGGCGACGGAAGCTGGGGGGCCCCAGTTGGTGGGGCCCAGTGGCTATTCAACCACTGCTGATGATATGGCAAAGAGTTTATTTCACAATTTAGAGATATGATAAATTCCCTGCTGCTCTCAGATGATCAACTATCAGCAGCAGTCATGGTGTATTTATAAAGATAGCAACTGTTTCTTCCAGATACAGATCTTGTCTCCATGATTCATGCCTCAAGATTAGACTACACAGTGCATTTTACATGGGGCTATATTTTAAAGCCATTGGGAAATGATTGAAAATCTGTAGTAATATCTGACTCTCAGGCTCTTGCCCATTTGTAATAATTCATATTTACTTCTATAGCAGAGCTAAGGACAGAGCTAGCTTGCTAGAAGCTACATGTAGGCCATAAAACAAGTTTACTACATCATTATTTAATTTAATTTAATTCCAATTTAAGATCATTCAATGTTATTGCAAGATCCATTTAAGCTTTCTAGATCCCTTAGTTTTTATTCAAATTTAGTTTTAGGAATTGCTAGTATGTCCAAGAAATTAATTTTAGTTTGTATCTTTTGCATACAAAGACAAACAAACAATCTCAAATATTTTGAGGTTGGAATAGGATTCAAATGGACCTTACTGATAAGTATGTTTAAATTTTCTCATTTCTAGCCAGAAGCAATCTTGTACATAGTTGGCATGATCAATCCGTAAATGAATTCCATCCATGGAATCCTGCATAGTTGGAATCACAGTCAGGCGGAAAACAAATTGAAGATAAACATGGATAACTTCTTAAACGATTCTCTGTTGCTCTAGTTATAACAGATAGTTTTGTAGTTCTGAAATTACACTTTTAAGGTAGACTCCAAGGTCAAGGCTGGTGAGGAGCAACAGTGATTTTTTCATAGTTTCCTAGATTACAAGCCCAGAAGGGACTACTGTGATCATCTAGGGAATGTCTAGACCCAGCCGCTAATTCGGCGGCTGGCAATCGAAGTTCTGGGTTCGACTTATCGCGTCTTGTCTGGACGCGATAAGTCGAACCAGGAAGTGCTCGCCGTCGACTGCGGTACTCCAGCTAGACGAGAGGAGTACCACGGAGTCGACGGGGGAGCCTGCCTGCCGCGTGTGGACCAAGGTAAGTTCGAACTAAGGTACTTCGAACTTCAGCTACGTTATTCACGTAGCTGAAGTTGCGTACCTTAGTTCGATTTCGGGGTTTAGTGTAGACCAAGCCCTAGTCTGCTCTCCTGTATATCACAGGCTATAAAATTTCCCTGAATTAATTCCTGTTTAAACTAGAGCATATCTTTTAGAAAGGCACCCAATCCTGATTTTAAACTGCCAGTGATAGAGAATCCACCCCAACCCTTGGTAAACTGTTCCAATGGTTAATTACCCTCACTATTACCTTGTGGGAAACTAGCTGACCTTGATTTGCTTGTTACATCAGCTAACTGAGATACTGTTTGACTGTTCTAAAGTCCGTATAATTCTACCACTGCTTACCTTCATAGGAGCAACCAGATTGCTCAATTACTGATACTGAATAATAGAGGTCATTATCTCATTTTGTGTACACAGGATGTTTTTTCTCCTTTCTACCTTCTATTGTGGTGTTATGCTTACAAATCTGTAACGTAAATTCCAACTCACCAGTGTCGAAATTCAGCACTCTGGCTGCTTCTCCTTCCACAGTGACCACTACATTGTCCCCCTCAATGAAGGCTGCTGTTACCCTCCTATGAGAAAGCATGATCTCAAAGAGTCTTCTACTACACTGGACATGATGGAGAGTCAATTCATTCACCCTGGGTTCAATATCCATCTTGTAGGCATTGAAAGATTGGTGGAATATGTTCTTCATTATCTAAAAAACAACAAAGTGACTAGTGAAAGTTAACAATCTTAATTGCAAACCCCACATTTGCACACCCAACAAACATCTGTGCATGCATATTAGGCAGTTGTGCATCTACACAGACGCACAAAGTTGGGTAATCATAGGCTCAAAGAGAGAAATAAATGTCTTGTACCTGGCAAGGAAAAAGGTGGGAGTGAAGAGTGAGCAAAAGAAAATTAGTGATGTTTCTTAGGGCCCCCTCTCTCAAGGCAGCAAAAACTTATGCACATGCTTAATTTTACACATGAATAAGGCTACCTTCAGAGGACATGGAAGTCACAGAATCCCTGACTTCTAGAGACCTCCCGGACATTCTCTGCTTCAGCCCCAGGGGCTGCAGGATTCTGGAGCTGGCAGCCAGCAGGGCCCTGGCAGGGTTCCAGCGACAGGTGACAGACTCCTGAGGGGGCCCTCCTCAGGGTTCTAGCAACGGATGACAACCTTGCACGGGGGAGGGATGCCTCGGGCAAGTGACTGGGGGTGTCCCATTTTTTCCCAGCCAATGTGGGTGGAGCGCCCCCCCCCCCCCCCCAGCTGCAGATGGCAGAGAGGGAACCTGACAGTTCCCAGCCACCACGCGGGCGGGGGAAACAGAGTCGCAGCAGCAAAAGTCATAGACAGGTCATGGCTTCCATGAATTTTTGTTTATTGCCCGTGACTTTTACTAAAACTTACTATGACAAAATCTTAGCCTTACACATGAATAGTCCAAATGACTTCAAAAAAGATAAGAACATGGGGAAGAGTTTTCAGGTTAGGGGCCCCTAAGGTTCCTCAGGGAAGGGACTGCATCATTTTTGCTTCTGTATAACCCTTAGCAAAATGGGTTCTCATTAGGCCTTTACTCCATGTTTATTCCAGGAGTTCCTAATAATAAACTACTAAAAATGGAATGGGAAGGGTGATTACCAGCCCCTTTAGAAAGGAGGATGGAGTTGAACATTAACTACAAAAATGAAAACAAATGAAGCTTTCACTGTGAAAGCTTTAAAACGGGGGTTAGATAATTAGTTAATTACAGAGGAGAAATCAAGGAGATGGAGCATAAGTAAAAGGAAGTAAAAAAAATCATTAACATTGTTTATGAATATTAATCACAAACACTCTTTCTTCATCAAATGAGCCATCACTAGCTGCAATCTTCACTCCTGATCAATGCTATCCTTAGTTTCTTTACACTGATAACAATACAAACAACCCCCATGCATGACACTGTTCCTTTACTTCTAAGATCTAAATGTGTCTCTTAAAAGAAAGCAGAATGCTGTGTTCAAAGAATGTTCTTTGCCCATGTTCAAATAATGATTTGATTTGGTCTTTCTTGCTTGCTTAAACCATTTGCTTTGTGAGGAATTGGATATCAGAAGAAGCTTTGCTTACTTTTTTGCAAATATCAGATGCTAAGTCCAGGTTCCCACAGGTTGCATGGCAATGTATGGTTATAACTAAAATGAGTGTGGGGTGGGGGGAAATCCAGGAAATTTCATGATATGGAATAATATCACTATACTTTCCCCTGAAACTGAATTATCCTCAGTTACATGTACAAACTTGAATCAAAAGAATCAATTCACTTATAAGAGGTTTCCACCCCCTCCCACCTCCAACACACACAAACCGGTGATCATCAGCTGGCTTTTCTAACAAACCAATTTCTTAGCACAAAAATTGTGACTCAGGAAAAAATGAATAGCAAGAAAATAGGCCATAATTTTTTGAGCAAAATGAAGCCATGACTACAACACAAAAGGCAAGGAAGCTACATAACTGTTATTGTTAACTACAGGGGGAGAAAAAAAAGGAATACTAACACCAGAAGATAGCATCACAATGCTCAAGACTTACATAGCACTTCCCATCAATAGCTTGGACTGATCCTTTATCAGTAATGTCAACACTATTTTTGTCATATTTTCATTAGGAACAAGATAAGTCCCAACCCTATAAACCCTTATTCATGTAAATTAATACTTATTCATACAATAGTTCCATTAAAGTCAATGAGACACTACTCCCATAAGTAATCCTTACTTATGTGTGTCAAAGTTGAAGGGTGCAGCCCTAGCCAATCCTAACACCACTCCCATAGAATACAAGTCATGGGTATGATTCAGCAATGTGCTTAAGTTCCTGTCAAGTCTGTTAAAGCACGTGCTCAAGTGATTTGTTGGTTCAAGGCCATGAATCCCATTTTGCGGAAGCTGAGATCCTGGAATTAAGTGACTTGGCCAAGGCTATGCAACGAGTCAGCAGCAGAGTTGAAAATATACCTCCAGAGTTCCTGGCTCCAAATCAGCCAGTCAGCACTCAGATTCCCCCCAAGTTCTGAATCACACTTGTTTTGCTAAGCAGCTGCCAGAATGCTAGGGATTCTTTATGGCTAGGGAGATGGTCCTTTTCCCTAGTGGATAGAGATGTCTATAGTTTGTTCACAGAATTGGCAAAACCATAGAGAACATTTATGTTTTTAGTGGATTTCTGTAAAATGAAAGGAATTGACCATTTCAGCTGATATTTTTGCTAATAAAAGTCCTAGTCCTGTCTCCTCCACAAAGAAATATAGCTGATTTTCCATGTAATGGGAGGGGGGAAGACTGCTAACTTTTCTCTTCGGGCTTCACCTCTACTTTAGGTTCTACCTTGTTTTGGGTGGGTTCTTGATTTCCTAATGGATTATTGTTCCAGCTAGCATGTAGCAGTGAAGTATATCAACCTGTTAGAGTGCCTGATGTTTCTTGAAGTTGCATTTTTGCATAGTTATTTATTAACTTCAAACTCACTCACTTGCAGTGGGAAACTGGACATCCCTCCCCCCCCTTGAACCTCATGATTCTTCACTTTTCTTTCTTCTGTCATTCAGCCTGGCTATAAAGAGTTAAACTATCTTATTGTCAGACTTAACTGTGGTCCCTTCACTAAGGATAGAGCCACACTGGAAAAAACAACCACCATCCTCCAGTAGTGAATCTCAGAGCTCGGGTCTACAGACTTGGGCTCACAGTACAGCACTAAAAGTAGCCAGGTAGACGTTCCATAGCAAGGCGGAACTTGGGCTCTAAAGCTTTGGAAGTATGGTGGGCTTCCAAGCCTGAGTGCCAGCCTGAGCACAGCATCTACATGGCTATTCTTAGCATTGTGACATAAGCCTCAGTCTGTAGACCCAGGCTTTGAAACTCACTGCTATGGGTTTTTTTGTTTATTTGTTTGTTTCTTGTAGTGTAGAGATACCCAAAGATGAGTTTCCCAGTTCACTTCACCATAGCATCTGCCAGTGGATAAATGCTGGGAGTTTTATCCTTAGTAATGGTCATTTATAGTCAAGCTCCTTAAACCAGGACACTGCAATTGTGACAGAGCGTGTTTAGCCTAAGGCTCACTCACCACTCCGTGCACTTGGCAAGTGTCACCACTGGGACAAACGGAGGAAATAATTGTTTAAGAACTGGATGATTAACCAAATAACAAGGTGATTCAGCTTAAGCAGGGCCAGAGAAACTGAGGATCTCAGGCAGGTAAGAGTCCCTCACCATCCCCCATGTCTAAGAGAAGGTAAAAACCTGGGGAACAAGGACTTGGGGCAAGTCTACACTACAAAATAGTCGACCTAAGTTATGTCAACATACAGCCACCACAGTAATAAAATTGCTTTTGCATGTCTACACTATGGTGGCCTGCGTCCTCACCAGGAGCTCTTGCACTGATTTAACTGTCAGTGTGGAGCATCGTGGGATGGCTTCTGAAAGGCAGCAACAGGCGATGTAAGCAACATAGCGTCTGCACTGACACTGTGTTGACCTAACTACACTGACCTAAGCACTATGCCTCTTGCGGAGGTGGAGTTATTAAGTCGGTGTAGTGGGCAAGTCACATCGGTGGGAGCTACATTTTAGTGTAGACGCTTACAGAGTTAGGTCGACATAAGGCAGCTTACATCGACCCTAACTCTTTAGGGTAGACCAGGCCTCATGTTATATAGCATAATGGAAATAAAGTACATGGTATCGAACTTGCCACAGGTGTGGGTAAGGACTGTATGCAGCAAGGAATCCAGGGTGAGGGAGACCTGCCCTGTGACAGCAACATTACATTTACTTTTAAAATGGGTTATCACAGTAGAACAGTCTCCTTTCAGATATTCTGGAGATACCCATAACGTTATCAGAGAGCTCAGTTAATTATTTTCTAGCTGAACGTGATTAAGGTACTAGAAAAGTTTGAGTCGTTAACAGTATAATCATTATCTGGGCTGGACTTTTAACTGGTTGCCTCATTTTCAAGCTATTGCAGTATCCTAATTTCCATGCTACTGATAAAGGGGGAGGATTTTAGATTTTATCTGCATCATCAAAACTGCATACCAGCTTTGTGGAGGTGTGGAGTGGGACAGGAAAACACTGCACTTCATTTAAATAAAACAAAACAACAGAAACCAACCCTCTCTCATTGTAATTAGAAGAAAGAAGTGAACAATTCTCCAATAAAGTTAAAAGGGAGCTACAAATATTACATGCATTGAAGGGAAGTAGAAAACCTGTATTTGTGATACATGTTTTGCTTGGTTGGTTCCCCCCTACCCCCACATTCATAGCAAGATAACATGAAATGTATTTTGCCTGGCAGCACTACAGCTGGAAAATGAACAGCAGCTATATTTCAGGTTGGACGAGGTCTTCCATTCATCCTCCTTGCCAAGTTGTCAGTTTCTCATTACTTTTTTAAGTTTCCCCCTCTCTGGCTTAAGTTTCCTTAAATAATTAAAAATTCATTGAAGCAGACGGACTAGATCCTGGATCTCCCACCTGGAGTGCTCAGACTTCCTCAAAGCACCAGGCTATGATGTCATTCTCAAGTTTGCAAGCTCCCTCTGGCTCAGGGAATCTTTTGTTGTATCCACCGTGGAATAGCTGCAATAGGAGAGGGACTATCTCATCAGAATATCCCATAGGCCACTGGCTAGAGCACTCACTTGAAAGAGAGCAGATCTGAGTTCAAATCCCTTTTTCCCCCCCTCTAGTGGAGTGGGGAATCTGAACCAGTGGCCTCCCACGTCCCAGGCAAGTGTCTTAGCCTGTGGGCTAAGAATAATGAGGGAGCTCATTCTCTCCCCCAGCTTTTTGCTAAAATAGCACAGGTGCCTAACACCAAGAGAGGGTGGGTAACTTTGAGAACCCGAAGCAGAGGGAGATGCCTCCCTGCACCTAGACATAAGCACCTATCTCTGGGAGATGGGGCGGAGCTTAGCACCACATCTCCCATTGGCTAGCAGAGGTTTGACGCTGCATAGCATGGTGACTTTTGTGAATCTCTCCCCATTAATTGTATAATGAGAGGAGCTTAGGAACCTTATCCAGGCTGTGTGAATCCCAGTGATTTTCTAGATATGGTGATGCTCCCAGTAACCATGCCCTGCCTTCACACACAGAGAACCAGATTAAAATCAGGCAACAACCCAAAGGTCAATTATGTACAAACCCATAGAAAGATCACTAATGAGAAGCAGATACCAGTCACAGGGGGCATGATTTTGCATTTATCTGGAAGCGTACAGCATGTTTGCTTTAAACATATCTATCAATAAGAAAACAAATGTACTTTAATAAAGTACAGTGAATTGTCCACATTTATCTAATATATCAAGCAAAGGGCATAAAGTAATTTTATCAGTTTATTTCCTTAACTTGTTTTTCTTAAGCACGCTAGTACTGATCCTGTAATGTGCTAAGCACCCACAGCTTCCGTTGACTACAATAGGAGCACTGGAAACTGATCTTGGAGCGGAGTCAGAATTTCTTGCCTTGTCCCTGTCCTTCGTATTAATGATGGGTTGAACCAACTTACTTTCCAGATTTCAACAGCCCTGTAGATTGTGCAGAGTAGGATTAAAAACTGGGTTGGGATTTGGATAAGGTTCATTTAATTGCCTCCCTTCCAAAGGGGGGAGGGATAGCTCAGTGGTTTAAGCATTGGCCTGCTAAACCCAGGGTTGTGAGCTCAAGCCATGAGAGAGCCATTTAGGGATCTGAGGCAAAAAAATTGGTTCTCCCTAGTGAAGGCAGGAGACTGGACTTAATGACTTTTCAAGGTTCCTTCCAGTTCTATGAGATAGGCATATCTCCATATATTAAAGTGATACACTGGTTCACAAAGAGCAAATTAAACATCTGTACTCAAAAATGCTTAATATAAGAGACTCATTCTTAACTTTTTAATTTGACAAACAATGAATAAATTACTCAACTGCCTGGTTAATGTTCTCCATCTGAGCTCAATGCAGCATGGTAAATAGACATGCATAGCTGGAGATTTATGGTCTGTCCTTGCCAATAGATAAAGAGCAGAAGTTACTGGTTAAATGCAGACAAGACTTTTGTTCTTTCAAGGGCTCCCTTGAGATTGAGAGTGTTTGTCGCAAATTTGTTGCTACTGTAACATATTTTAATTGTGAAACTGCTTATCTGAGGACTTTCTCCATAGAATAAATTCCATTGGCCAACCCCGAAGTTCCTATTTTAAATAAAGAAACCAAGCTCTTCTCTCTTTGGGGGGGTGGGGAAGGATAGGTTCAAATTTTAAGGATCTAGGGCTGTGTGATTTTTAATAAAATTGGCAATACTTTTTTTTTTGGCGCTTTAACTTTTCCAGAAGCACTGTTTATCGAAGGCCATAGGCTCCAGTCTTGGTCTGGCCACTTTGCACAGCTCAAACAGAACAAAGCAGCCCTAAAGGGAAACCTTTACTCCGTGTAGGGGGCAGAGGAGGGAGGCCAAGGTCATGGCTAGAAGTAGATGGGGACAGGGCTGCAGTGCATGGCACTCTTCCCAATACTGCTTGTGGGGCTGCTGCTGCTGTCAGTGTAACACAGAACAGCCTGACCACCTGCCCTTTGAAAATCAAAATGTCTTAACTTGGGCATCCAAAAATTCAGGAATCCATAATCACTAGCCACATTTGAAAATTAGGCCAGTATATACAGCTTGTGTGTTCAAAACCTCAGCTCCCAATTTAACTGTCAATCAGGAGTTTTGCCTCATTACCCCAGTCTTTTTCAGTGAGAACCTGGAAGCTTTAGCCAAGAATTGACTATTTCCCTGGTAGGTTTTATAGAGCCTGTTCACATACCGGATTATTTGTATACAGAGATTGATGCTGCTTGCTGGACTGCTGATCACCAATTCCTTGGATATTTAATTTAATTTAATTTCCAGAAGAATCTCTGGTGCCAGAATGCTAAAATTACTGAAAATGCACTTGGAGAAATTGTGTCATTTTGGGGAAAAGGAAAGGGTGTTCATGCAGGGGGTAACATTACCTGCTAAGCTACTGAAGCTATGTGGTTACATGGCTGGCTTTATAGTAGACTGTTTAGAGTGGCACAGAGTAATACCCATCCTTACGTGCCATTCTATCCAAGATGCATGCCTAACTGACCTCATTGTTTCCTTCTCCTAATCTCATTTGTGTCTTCTTCCATGTGTCCTGCTATGCCCAGAACTCCTTTCCTAGCCTGTTCTGACATGTGTCCAGCCTTGTCTCCTTAAAACACACTTCTTCTGTGAAGTCTATAAACCCTCATCCTCTCCATAAAGAAGTGTTATTAAAAAAGAAAGACAACTGAACAAAAGATAATTACTCTACACCATGGTAAATAAGCCAAAATGGTCAGACTTCCTGGCATTTTGATCTTTAGTAAATACTAAGATTAAAGAATAGAGAGTAATTGTATTCCTTAATATTCATGTGTTTCAGGGCATGGACAAAATTGTCATATCGCCAGTGTTTATGAAAACTAGTATGCACCACTCTGATCAATATGTACCACTCAAACAAGATTAAAAACACATGTAATTCCTAAGGCTAAAATTAGCTCTGACATCCTATACTCATACTTCATGGTTAATGAATAGTTCTATCATCAACATTGGCATTTTATAGAAAAGCAATTATCTTAAAAAATGGTGGTATCAAAACAGACAACTTATGTTACAACAATAAGCTAACTAGTCACAGTATTCAGCCCCAACATCAAAAGTGTCTTTGTTGCTCTGAGGCTAAATGCAAGGTTTTGTTTTGTTTTTGAGTACTTACCAAGCCACTATACATTGATAAGTGGTAGAAATAAACTGTTGACTTTTTGTAGCAGATGCTTGCGTCACTCACAAAGAACATAGTGATTTTATTCAAAAAATTCTAGAGTTCAGTAAACAAAAAATGATAAAAGATTATTTAGAAGATGGTAGGTCTGCAGAATTGTTTTTCCTGTTAACCTTTAACAATAATTTCACCTTGTATAAGATATTCATTGTGTTCAAATAAAACATACCGGTATTATTCAATTACAAAAGGTAACTAGCTTAGAACTTGTTCTAATCTCTTCCTGGTGCAAAATCTTATCTTCTTCGCAACTGTATCTGCCTAACATTTTGCAAAGCAAAGTTGTTTGCTTTTGAGAATAATCTCCAGCATTCTTCTCTAAAAAGGCTCATTCTATGCTAAGATTCACTCAGCACAACAGACAATTGCCACTTAAGTGGTAACTAAGTAACCACATGGTCATTTCCTTGATCTGGCAGGTTAGTAACCTAGCACAAGACTATTTATGAAGATGACTCACCAGTATGACTATTAAACGCTGATGATATGTAGAAGAAAAGGTATTATTTAGATATAGAAAAAAAGTCAAAAGGAAAGCACTACAAAATAAAAATAAAACCCGGTCCTGTGCATTTCAAATAGCCATATTGTGAATGGGGAAAGAGGGAAGGAAAAATCCTTGCTAAACTGCCGTGAAGAAAACTATTTCTAATGTATATATTATATCAAATAGTGTTGAATTTTGTCAAAGGCTGACTCTGCTGTGATAAGTCATGCAGTAACAGGGCTCATACAATGATAGGGCACCAGAAACAGGAAAGAATAAAGAACAAAACTGCGAGGAAGGCATTTCAAATTGAGGATTGTGGTGTGCATTTTCAATACTCATTCTACTCCCCCCTTCACCCACCTGTTATATCTTTCCTTTCTCCTGTAACGTATGCTGGAACTGCAGAAACTAGTAATGCTGCTACTAGTAAAGCAGGATCCTGCAACGTAGTAGGGTTAGGTGTGCTTACTCA